AAGAGGATGTGAGCTCAGAAATCATGCAGCTCCTCTCAGAGCCAGAGGGGTGAAGCAAGCCGCCAGGTCAGACATGCTGAATCTTTCCCGGTAAGCGCACCTAGTGGTGCTACACAGATTATTAGAAATGGGCTAAGTTAATACATGAGAATTAACCTAGAAGAGGCTAGATAATATAATGGGCCAGGCAGTGTTTAAAAGAATACAGTTTGTGTGTTGTTATTTCGGGGCATAAGCTAGCCAGGGGTGGCAGGAACCAGCCCGCAGCTCCCACAACAACCTGAGACAGCTCAGTCAGCAGAGCAAATACCTAGAATATGTGTGAAAAAGTCAGGGGTGGTGGCACACACTTCAACCCCGATGCTGGAGAAGGCCCAACAGAAGGATCCCTGGGGCTCACTGACTGGCCAGCCTCACTGATCAGCGAGAGTCCCTGTCTGGGAGAACAAGATGGACGGCGCCTGAGGAGGACATCTGAGGCTGACCTCTGGCTTCTACACACTCCAAACATAGAGCTGCACCTGGACACATATAGACATGCACGGAATGTCACACTTTTAACATTATTATTTATGTATTCATATTTTCATTCTTAGCCACTTGAGGGCAATACAAAGAGTTCATAAACAACTCAGTAAAATAACAAAATAAAATAAAATCTTGAAGCACTCCTCAGGTTTTCCCTAATTTTGTGTAATAAGCTGCTCACTAACACCACTGTGTGCCATGGACTCTTAGGCTAACTCCCCCCTCCCCCAACCCCAGAACTAAAGCTTAACAATGATATTTATTTCAATGGGATCTCAAGTAGCCCAAGCTTGTTCAAACTTACTAGGTAGCTGTGGCTGGCCTTGAACTTCTGACTTCCCTGCTTCAGGCTCCTAAGTGCTAGGCCTACAGGAATACACAGCCATATTCAGCTCAGTTATATAAATCTTTATCTTCTATAGGGTATTAAATGAGAAGACAATTTGTTAAAGAGCTGTGTCTGGAATCTTAGAATTTTCATAAACAAAGATTCACGACTATCTATCTTTTTATATGTGTATTTTTCTCACATTTACAAGAACCTATAGAAAGCCTCCAGGAAATCCTCCAAAGTTATGAAGCATACCCATACTAATACGATTATCAAAAGTACAGTAGCTGAATTGCCACAAATGAACAATGGCTAAGTTGTTAAGTGGCTGACACAATGAAGATGCACGCCTGTCACATGAGAAGAATCAATCAACAGTAGCAAAGATCAAAGACACGCTGGAATTGTTGCTAGCAGGAGCAGGGCCACCATCGAAAGTCTCGGGAAATCACTTAGAGGAAAGCAAAGGAAGCATTTGTTTTAAGCGGAGAGAGACACCGCATGGGCTGCGTGTCAAAAGCGGCCTTCGTGTTCTTACACATGCATATTAGAGCTAGCTAAAATTAGCTCCAGTTCCTATTTTATAAAGGAATAACTGTTTCAACAAGATTTCATGGCATTCAGTTGAACACAGACTTTCTAGGGTTCCGGAGCTCTCACAGAAGAAGCCCCCCTCCACGATCCACCCCTGCAACAACCCAATCCCTCCTGCCACCCCAGCTTTGGAAAAACTGGCAAACAAAGGCTGTGCCACCATTCAAGCTCCCCTTCTTGCTGCCTCTTACCTTCACCCTACGCATTCACCGCCAGCTCCTGTGTCCTTAGATCCAGTCATGCCTTTTGTGTGTTCACCCCTTTGCCAGGCACAAGACCCCAAAGGCCAAATTCAAAACCCTTTTTATGCCAGTGACGCTTCCAAACTGCTCTTCGGATGGACTTCTCAGCTATTCCCATACCCCTGCCAGTCTCCTTGACTTCTACAACTCAGAACACCCCCCACCTTCAGCCACAGTTGCCCAGCCTACATACGACATACAAGCAAGCTTTTGCTTGTTGTCCCAGCCGCTTGCAAGACTTTCCTCTGTCTCTCTCCATCTCTTCCCACAGAAGTGCAATCCCAGCCTTCAGAGACCAAATCACATGATCCTCCTCCTCACAGTCTTTCCTGAGCTCCCACCACCCTTTTAAATTCCTTCCGGGTCAGAATGTACCCCTCAGTAAGTACAGCCCAACCCTTTCAGCTTTGTTAGCTATTCCAGCGCATTCCTCCTTTCTCAAGCCTGGTCACGAAGAATGTATAATCTCCTGTAGCTCTTACTCACTTGCATGTCCACGGCACCATGCAGTAGTTAAAAAAAACACCCAGTGAATGTATGAATGAATCACTTCTTTACATAGATAGTAACTGTGAATAAGTTAGGTCATAACTTGTTTAGCTGCATCATCTTTATAAAATAACCAGCGCCAGAAATAATAACCCAGACTTTCATTTAGAAGAATAACATGAATGTATCAGAATACAACATGATATTCTCTCCCTGCCCACAGACAGCCGTCAGTTGTGAGGACCATAATGAGGCCATTATGTATGCAAAATGCTTAGAGAAAGTGTAGACGTTTCTTTTCTGCGCAAGCACAGAAAATATCAACAGCCTAATGTTCCAGGTGACATTGCGCTATTTTGTCAGTAAGGCCGTGAGTATCACGACACTTAACTGAGTGGTTATGAGACCAGAAACCCCTGCATCTCAACAAGCAGGCCATGCTGCCCAAGATAAGGCTCCTGGCAGCCTGTCTTGTTCATAAGAAAATTCTTGAGATTGTTTGGTTATAGATAATGACTCTCTTCAAATACCACAGGTTTTAAAAAGAAAAGAACACCTCACCCCACATACTCCTGAAACATATCTCCTGAAAGGTCAGTGCAAGGACCATCTATCTGCCTGGCAAAATACCCGTATTAAACAGGTTCCCCCGAAGAGGGAAGGTAACAGTGTGCTGCCCCACCCTGCCCATTAGCAGACACCTGCAGATCTTAAGAGCCTTGCCCTGCCAGTAGCTAGACATCACTTACTACCATTTAAATGGAGTCTCTCAAATCCACAGTCAATACAATAGAAAGAATCCACTTGCATAATCCAAAAGAACACAATGCTTATGGCCTGGTACACATTCTCTGCTTTGCCCCACAGAGGACTCTTAGATTCTTTTCTTTCTGTCTTTCTGTCTGTCTGTCCATCTGCCTTGGGAATTGAACCCAGAGCTTCACACATGCTAGGCAAGTGCTCTCCCACTGAGCTGTGTTTCCAGACTTCCAGCTACTCTTCCTAAGGCTTAAACATAGTTATTAGTCAGGCCTTTTATTATTATTAGTATTCAAACAAACTACAAATAACTCTATTGATGCAAGCTATTCATCAGTTTATCTTACAGTGCAAAAAAAGATATGCATCCTATCACAATATGAGTTAAGATAAGTTCAGAATTTAAAATTCAGAAAAATAAATAGAACCCTTATTGGCTTTGTAGAGCCACAAATGCCTACAGGGTTGGTCCAAAGGCCAAGGTCTGGGTATATTTACTTGTTCTTAGTCATGTATGGTCCAGGAGCAGCCGTGGAAAAAGAAGAGATTTACATTCCCCCCTCCCTGTCTAGAGATAAGCTATGTGCTAACAATGATAGCTTATGAGAACAGGTCATACATAAGCCATATGCCCAGCACACTCAAGCTACACACACGCATTTGTTTTCAGTCCATCCTCACAGTGGCCCTCTGTTGTCCTCATTGTACAAGGAGAAGCCGAGACATGAACAGGATACAGGCATGTGCACAATCAAAGCAGCATCTTGATATTTGAAATCCAAATACTCTGGCCAGTGTCAGAGCTTCGGGCTGTTATCTCGGAGGCCATGAAGCTTGTCCTTAGCTTAAAATAAACTGGTTCTGTGGCGTACACACAGAAAACTGGTGAACTTTCTTGGGAGTTTGATTTTGTTTTGCTTTTTGAGAAGGGTCTGGGGCTGTATCCCAAGCTGTTCTCAAGCTCACTGCATAGCTGCTGTTAGCCTCCGACTCTGGCCCATCCTCCTTCTGCCTCAGCTCTGTTTCTCAAGTGCTGTGATCACAGACATGAGCCACCATGCCCGGCTCCACCAGGCCATTTTGTAAATGAACACTTGGTAAAGCCAGTATCTACCTCTTGCTGAATAGATTTTGATGTCCTCCATTTGGGGTGTGTGGTTTGGTAAAAGCGCCTTCTGCTTCTTACCAAGAAAGGAAACAGGAAAGTTCCAGAAACACTTCCTTCATTCCAGCAGACCAGCGGGGAACATTCTGATTCAGGAGGTCTAGGGTGGAGCCCCAAACTCTGTTTGAAACTCTCTGAGTGAGTCTGTTGCCCAGCCAGCCTTTGGAACTTCTGATGTTGCCTGGCTTCACGGCTTCAAGCAGAACTATTCTCAAGGCAGCTAGAAATCTATCTTTTATTTTCTCTTCCACAACCCCCTCCCTCGCCTGCTTGTGTACACTAGTGTCCCCAAGCCCTTTCAGTCCCACGTCCTAGCTGAATTCCATTCTCTCTGGATTTCACAGAAGGGCACTGGCCTCCTGTCTGCTCTTTAACAGAGAACCCTGGGTCAACAGTCCTTGCTTACACGCTGTTTCGAGACTCTCCCAGCCAGAAAAATTTACTGCATGTGAGGAAATCAGGAAGTTGTAAAATCCAAACAGACACAAAGAGACTCAAGATTCAACAACTCCCGGCAGCCACCGACCCAACAAACAGTTTTCTGCTTCCTTGCAAACGTATCATACTACAGTTAGAACCTAAAACGGGAGAAGCAGTCTCAGGGGAGATGGCAGCTTAGTGTTCTTAACTGACTTAAGGAAAGGTGACGTGTAAAATGAGCAGGCTCAAGCCCCAGGCAGCAGGCATCAATCAAGACAAATTCAGTGCAGATTTCTTCGTGAACCAAATAGACCACAACCATAGATGCTTTTATCCAGTTTTTATACACACACACACTGGGCAATTTTCCATACACTACAATTATAAAGAAAATTATATTTCACAGTTTACAGAGTACACAGCTGATGAGCAACCATCCCAAGTCAGATAGAAAACATGGTAAACCTCTCACCTGGCACGGGAGGCATTCCCTGCAGAAGGAGGTGGTGTGGGAGGATGAACAGACTCTTGGACAAGGATGGCAGACAGATCTGCAGCTTGAACGGTCTGCCCTGATGACTTGTTTCGGGGCGCACGATGCCTCTACAGTGGTCCAGGAAGTGCAGGAGAAGAAATCCAAGGTGACAGGCCAAAAGCAAACAGAGAAACAAAACAAAAAAAAAAACTGCTTTTAAAAAGAAGTCTACCTTAAGACATAGGCACTGAAACACAAGTCTCAAGAAGAAAATTTTGAATTTTGTTCTAAAAGAGTTACACGGATAGCAGCCAGCTTAAGACAGGTCTGGTTTTATTCCACCAGGGTTCAGGGAATCCAACATATGAAATCTAGGCCACCTCTTGAGCCAAATGAAAACCTTGGTTCCGCGTTTACAGCAGCCACTGTCATTTTCCTCAAACAGCCAACACGCAAGCCCATGCCAGTCATCACAAATAGCATCACATAGAAAAGGGCATGGATGAAATAGTAACTGGGCCAAAAGCCTAATTCGAATTGAGTATATATTAACCTATCCACATGAAACTTGAAAGACAATCATGACAGATATCACTATTAACACACTAGCCCAATGGTAAGGGGGGAATCAAATGCAGAGGAAAATAAGGATGCATTTTGAGGAAAAGTCTCATGTAGCTCAGGCTGATCCCAAACTTGCTATGTAGCTCAGGATGACCCAGAACTTCAGATCACAAGTGCTGGGAATACAGCCATGTGCCACCATGCCCAGTTTATGCAATGCGAGGGCATCAAACTTACAGCTTTGTGCATGGTAGACAGGCACCTTTGCCAACTGGGGTACTTGCCCAGCCCTAAATTTTAAATCATTTCATTGTTGAACGGATACTGTCATCACTTTCATTTTGCCCCAAGAGTCAATCAAGGTTACCTACTATATGAGGAATTCGTGAATGGATAAATGAAAGAAGAAATGAATGAATCTTTGTGGATTTTGGTGCTCCTGAGATAATTTTGTGAATTAAAGATGTATGCACAGACACAGAAGTAGACAGCTTGAACGGCTAGCAGACTTTTTAGCCTTAGCCATTAAAATCATATACTGAAGTGCTGGGGATACACAACCAGATTAAAGCAAAAACACCAGCCATGCTGGTAGGATAAAAAAAAAAAAATCCCCTCAACTAAGTGAATGCTGAACTGGTTTTCAGTCAGATCGCTGGAGCCGAGTTGCGTGTGTTTAGGCAGATTTTAAATTTAGTCTGGATTTCCTACGCTCACGCCAGGTAACAGTAGGAAGGAGAAGGCCCAGAATTATATTGGGTGTCAGAAAGAAACTATTCTGGAACTATGAATATGATCTCCAGTGTGGGTACTCTGTAAACAGGTGAAGAAGCCAATTCTCCCCGGGTCCACAGCAGCTCATCTCGGGAGTCATAATTATTTTCAACCATACACACTCGCTATTTTTAAGAGCACAGCCCAGCTGGAAAGGGAAATAACTCCCATTTCTTTCCAGCACTTTGCAAAGTAATGAATAGTAGCCAAAGCATTCTTCCTTCTAACGAATCCATTCACCACCAATTTATCTAAGCATCTATTGGGAGCCAGGGGCTGCTCTGCAAAAGGACTTTTTAACAGTCTTCGGTTTCCCCGTGTGCAGTCTGTGTATGGAGAGAAAAGCTCAAGTGGGCTATAATGTTCTTACAGAAAGAAAAGAAGACACCATCTTTCCACGGAGAAGGCTGCTGGGTTACAGGCGGTGACCAAGTTCAGCAGGAGTTCACCAAATTCTATTTCATCTTAGCGCAGCATTTATTTTAAGGGCAAGGGAAGTCTTGATTTTTATCTGGTAACATTTCAGAGGACACTCAAAATACTTCATAATCACTTTCCCAGATGCTGCAGGTACTGGGGACTTGGGCTTGCTTGTATGTGGGTTTGTGTGCACACAGGGCCCTGTTTACACATCGCCCGGCAGATAAGACTTGCTAGAGTCCAAATTACAGTCTCCTCCCATTCTGCTGAAGTGCACAGAACAGTCAAATGTGATGTAAATGCTGTCAAATATTAATTTACTCTAGCATTGGTATGCTTCCTTCTTTCGAAAAGCATTTGTCCGGCCACCCTTGACAGAGTAAGAGTTATTTACTTGTGTATCCCATCCCAGGAAAGAAACACAAGAATCAAGTCAAGGCCACATGAACTCACTGTGAGGACACACAATAAGCAAGACAGTAAATGATGGCACATTATAGACAATGACACACACTAAAATTGGAATCTTTAATATTTCAAAAGCACATATCAGAGAAACACAGTACTACGAATAGTGGAGGATTACCAAGCCAGACGGCCCAAATAACTAAACATGTGATGGTATACAAACACCTGGAGGTAACACTGAGTCAGGACCAGGGCCAAGGGCACAAAAAGAGAAAGTTTGCCCTCCACAGTGACAAGAAAAGGCCTTCTCTTTCTGCAAGAAGCACACATGCTTACAGGTCGGCAGCTGTAATCACTACTAAAAATACCTGATAAATACATTGTTCTAAATCTGACCCTTTAAGGCACTTTGGTGGAAGCAGGATGAGTCCTTTAGATACCAAATGATGCCCTGCAGTCAGGGGAACACCTACCCTCTAAGCCCGACATCTTATTACACCATGTGTTTTCTGAAAAGGGATTTTCAAGTAGAATACATTTTTTTTTTGTTTACAGGATGGCAATTATCATTGCATTTTCATTATCCCACAAATGGTGTGCATTAGGAATTATAGAAAAATCAATGAAACACGTCTGCTAACATCAAACATGCCAAACAAAGGGGTGCGCGAGCGGCCTTGTTTGTCTATAATAGCTCAAAACATGTTTTAGTTCAGGCGTGATAGTAGTAACAGGTAGCATAAGCATTTCTAGTCAATTATCCTAAAGGGCTCAGGTTTATAAGGATTATAAAATATGCCATTGCACTGATTAAAGTCAAAAATACTTATAAATAAAATTGGGCAAGGAAAATAAAAACACCATTTCCACAAATAAAGATAAATTACCACACAGCATTCCTTTTCTTCCATTATTTTAAGTATTTATTTTTTTTTTAAAAAAAAAGCCTCAATCCAATTATAACTCTTTCAGCCAATAGTTTTTCAATTATGGAAAGCTAGCATCCTATATATGCATCATCATGGTACTGCTCGCAGAAAATTGGAATGAGTAAATTTATTTTACTAAACCAAATTAAATGCAACTAAAATAGTATTACTGATGACTCAGATCTTCAACTCTTAAACAACAAACAAAAGAAAAACTGTATCTTAGCCCTTGGGCATAAATTGTGGCCTTCACTGCCATTCCCACAATTTGTTGTTTTTAACAAACATTTAGCAAAATCAGAAGGGCTGCCTCTGTTCTCAGGTTGGAAGTATGGCCAACAGGAACAAATTCTGTTCTTTGAAGCAATTAAATCGCACAAACCTAACTCTCTCTAAGCCAATCCTGCAGACTTGCCTGCTACTCTGAAAATGCAGAGCCTGGATGTCAGGGACCCCCAACTCCCTAAAAAAATAGCAGCAGACTGTCTCTGGAGAAGGCTCTTTTCATATGCAAGGATTTAAGCTTTTCTGAGTCTAAATGACGTGTTGCCTTCAGACCCCTAGAGTTCAAAGAAATCAACATTCTCTCCGACATTCAAGTGCTTACAGGAGCTCGGGCTTTTAGTAAAGTATATTTATTGACTGTCTCCTAATAGGAAGCACTGCGAACTGCTACAGCCTATTAGTCAGTAGAAGCTGCCAGGTCAAGGTATGTGCTGGAGCAAAATGCTCTTGACATTTTGGGATGGGAGAGAAAACAAGGTCACCTTATTCAAAAGGAATGTGAACCCTTGAACTCTCTACTGACACCGGGAGCCTAGGAGTGTTGACTAACATTTTAGCAATCTCTTCACCCTGGAGGTTCCTGGGACTCAGGGCAGTGGAAACTTTTGACCATCTCCAGCTATTTGATATGTAATCTGATGGCTCAAGAGTTTTTCTTTAATCTCTAGCTCAAAGCCACCTGAGAGGCCTGAAGTCTCTCCATGCTATTTCTAACAAAATACCGCTGCTGGCCAAACCCTCTTAAGACGAAAATCGGGCGGGGAGAGGGTGATGCTTTTTCCAGTTCTCAATTAAGTACAATACACTTCTCATATTTGTTTTAGCAAGGGATTATTTGTACACTGAAAAATACATGCCCACATTTAATTGCAAATCAAGCCCTTCTCTGTTGCAAAATAGAACCAAGAACCTCCAAGGGTTGTGTAAAACTTAAAATGTCTGTCCTCTGTTTTAGATCCTGTCTTTACATGAATTCACCTCTCAGAAATAATAGCTCATTTTAACCACAATGATGCTTCACCGGACCAGGCCACAATAATGTAGCAACCACATAAACTCTGTAACCAGGGGAAACTCATAAACCCCCTGTGAGGAGAAGTGAGTAACTTTCCCAGTTTGGGCCCTGGAGAGGTGGGAGACTGTGTGTGAGTGTGTGTGTGTGTGTGTGTGTGTGTGTGTGTGCACTGGGGGGATTCTCTCTGTGTGTTTTTCTTCCTTTCTTCTATTTTAACTGATTTGGCTACTTGGCCTTGAAACTATAAACTGACTGGCAGGGTCACAACTAAATTATGACACACTCAGAGTTACTAAAACATTCCCCTTCATCTGGGCTGTCTGAACAGTGCCAGGCTCCAGCAGCTAAAGCTACTTTTCTGTTGTCTTTTCTGTCATAATATAACTTTTCTGGCCTTAGCAGGCTTAAGGTGGTACCAGAATGCAAACACTGGCCTGCAGCTCTCTAGATGTTCACTAAATTATATCCTAAAGTACCATATACACTGTTTACTGGGCAAAGCTCCATGCGTGATACCAACTTGTAGCATCTCTCACTCAGCTGCAAAAAAATATCTTCCGTTTTTACTTGAATTTTTACTTGATCATCAAAGATCAGGAGCAACAGATCCAAATTAAGAAAGATAGCATTCAGAATGCCTGCCTACTGTCAGCATACCTTTTAATATTATGGTCTGTGAAGTTTTAAAATATGGCAGTGGGGAGTATACTTTCCGAAGAAGCCATCTCCTCTCAGTGAACTACCTAGAAAGCCAGCCAGCACCGCCAGCAATTTCATTTCTCAAGCATGGCTGTGCTCGCCTCTCACACTTGAAAGGGTTAAGTGCTGGCAAGGCCAAAGGCTCCAGACTGAAGAAGAAATGTCGCTTCAGTCAGTTTTGAAAGGTTTCTAGCAAGTATCAAATACTTGTTGATCTGCTCACAATAAACACCAGCAGGATTGTCAGCTCCTTTCACTGTCTGGGGAGGTGCATCTACACACTGCACCCAGGAGGAGCAGCTTGTTGGTTTCCTTTAGAAAAGCTGAGTAGCTAGAATCTGCCTCATTCAGTGTCTCTGGTTCAGATGACTGAAAGGAGATGCAATTGAAATGGCAAAGCCTCTCCTCTCTGGTTCGGGCAGCTCAAATACTGGGCATAAAACACTTGGAGCAGTTCAGGCAAACCCACCTGAATGGACCAAGCAGCACTGTCTGTTGCCATGGCAGCCTGATCTAATTACATGAGTGATCAGGGGCAGAGTAAGTGCACAGAAAACTAACACCACTGACAGTATCTGTATGATGTGAGAGGCAGACAGGCTTTTCAGCCTCAGCTTTATGTAGAAGGTGGCATTCAAGCCCACTTATTTGCAAAGCTGCTAAAATATTGACTGCTGCACAGCCAGTTAGAGGACAATCAGAGGAGATTAAATGCCACAGCTAAACTGCTCTGGTGCAATCCCTTTCCAAGAGTTTGTGCGCATGTTTTTCTTCTCTTTGGAGGCTACCTCTAGCTTCCGCTGGCATAAACTTCATTCAAAAATAAAATAAAAATAAACCCTGGGCTATCAAACTGTCTTAGCTACCCACCCATCATCAAGAAAGCAGAGGGTGGGCTTAACTAGGGCTTCTAGGAACTGCAGGGCTCTTCAAAAAGCCAAACAGAAATGGCTTAGCGAACAATATTGAAAAAGTAAGCAGCTGCGCTGAAAATAACCAGCATGTAACTACCTTGTTGTGTACAATCTAGAGCAATGATGTTTAAATATTAAGAAGAGCTTGCATTATAAAACAGAAATGTCATTGCGATGCGACTACTAGATTGCTACAGGGAAACACTGCACAGGCACACATTCCCCTGCATGCTGGGCAGGAGGTGAGGGGAGAACTCGACTCTTAGGCGTTACTTTTGATTCTGTAGGTGGTGTGGGGTCTTCTAATTTTACCAGTTGTAGTCTGTGGCTCTCTCTGAGAAGCTAAGAAACCTCTCCGGGGACAGAACCAGTTTGGAGGAGTTCCTACTGCACAGCATACGGTAAACAAAAATAGCTTGCCTTTCTTGTTAGCCACACAGCGCATTATATAACCAGCTTCCGACTGGCTTTTTTTTTCCGCCCTTACTACTCTTCAGCAATTTCCCAACCTTCCCAAGTATTTATATTACCCTCTTATCTGTAGGATTATACAGAAAGAAAGCAAAACAAACCAGGACAGCCACGGGATCAAACTGAACTCCACCGTCTTAAAACCCTATTTTTTTTTTCTGACGGAGTCTAGATCACCATCCTACTTCCACTCCCCCCCACCCCCCAACTAAGGTCTTTGCTCAATCTCCCTAGAAAACCTGAATTGTTTCACCACTTCCAGTCAGCTCTCTACGTGGTCTGAAATAAAATGAAAGCGCACAAGCCACAGAGTTGAAGGAGGTGGCTAAGGAGAGGTCAAAGCGATGTAGAGTCAGTCAAGGGACCATCGCGGGGACCCCCTCACCATCGCGATGGCCCTGGCCCCCGCCCGACGCGCGAACACACACACACACACACACACACACACACACACACACACACACACGCAAGCACCTACACATTCATTTGCACTCACTCCCTCCTCTCCGACCCCGCCTCACCTCTCGCTCCGCCCGTCCGGCCCCTTCCCTGCCCCCTGCGGGACCGGCCTGTGCGCTCCGCAGTAACCACGTAGGAGGCAGCGGCGGCGGCAGCCCCGGCAGTGGCGGCGTCTCGGGCCCCGAGTGAACGAGCCGCGGGGCTCCGGGGCGCATCCCAATCCCCGCAGCGCCTCCTCCGCCGCCGCCTCCTCCTTCCCCTCCTCCCATCTTCATTCACCCTCCCTGCCGCCGCGCAGCCGAGCAGTCCCGGCGCAGGGCAGAGCCCGCAGCTCCTCCGCTGCTGCCTCGGGCGCCGGCGGGGACGCCGGGCCGGGCTGGGGCGCTCGCGGGCTCCCGGCTCGGGCAGCAGTGGCGGTAGCGGCTGCTCTGGATCAGGAAGCGACCGCACCAACAGGGCGGCGGTGGCAGCTGCAGCAAGGGCCCTTCCCCGCCGCCCCTCCCGCTGCGCTCCGATAGCCTGCGCGCCCCTGCCCCCTGCGCCGCCACCTCTCTGCTCCCCTAGGCCGTGCGCAAAGTCCCCGGGCCCCGAGAGGTTGGCCTAGGCGGGGAGACCCCCGTCTTGGAGTGGCCTCTCTCAAGCTAGGCGACCCCTAGGCGGGGAAGCCTAGCCCTCCCTCGAGCCCCAGCGGCGCTCACCACCCCCTGCCGGGAGGGAGAATTTACAAGAGCGAAGAGGGCAGCGCGACCCTCAACCGCTGCCGCCTCCCTCTGCGCCACCAGGAGGGAGGAGGACAGGGCTCTCTACGCTCGCCGCCGCCGGGCCAGCAGCAGCCCGAGCGGGGCGCCGCCGCTCTCCCCACCCGCGCCCCTCGCCCTGGCGCGCCCCCTCTCCTTGGGGCCGCCCACCCGGCCCCTGGCTTCTCCCCTTGCCCGCCGCTCCTGCGCCCACAGTGGGGTCCCCAGCCGGGAGGCTGGAACCCGGCACGGGTGTATGTACACACACACACTCACACACGCTCGCGCGCACGTTCACATACATACACACACACACATACACACACACACACACACACACACACACACACACACACCAGGACGCGTCGGTTCCCTTCGCTCCTCTTCCAGCTGTTTTCCTTGCAGCCCATTGAGACTGGGGGAGGGGGTGTATGCTGGATGTTCTTTGGCCCCTCTCTGGAGAGAGCGGATTGGGGTGAGGGAGGGGGTGATTTTAATCTAAATCGGGGGGGGGAGGAGGATGGGGGAGGGGGAGAGAAAGAATCAGAGGAGGAAAAAAAATAGCCACTTACTGTAAAGTGTAAATGGATCTGGGGTTGCGTGGGGAAGGGGGGACAGAGGGAGAGACACAGTGTCCTGCGGCTGCTGTAGCTCTAGCTGCGGCTCCACAGGGCTTGTTTTGGATCCCCCTGCAGTGAAACAGGTCCTGTACGGCTCCGCCACTGTAGTAGAAATGATGTCTGCGGTATACTCTGCTTTCTCCTCCTCCTCCCCCCTCCCCTCCCTCCTCCCTCCGCCCGCCCTCCCTCCCTCGCGCTCTCTCTCGCGCTCGCTCGCTCGCTCCAGTATGTAAATGTGTAATAGAAGCCAAATATGGAGCAGTTGGCTGCCGCCGCCACAGCTCAAGGATCCGACTTCATGGGGGGGGGGGGGGGGGGGGCACCCTCTGGCAGGCGGCCCGGCGAGCCGCACAGAGCACGGCGAGCGCACGGCGCGGCTGCCGGCCCGCGCCCTTAACCCTTGTATGCACCCGACCGGAGCAGCGGTCCCTCCAGCGGAGGCCCGGTGCCTCTTCCTAACTGCGGCTCCGGATCCCGGACGTCGGCCTGAGGGGACTGTGCCTTCCAGGTTTGAGAAAGGGGCGGGGAAGTTGGGGCGATGAGGTCATTGGAGTGGTGACCGATCGGTGCTCTCGCGCCTCCTCGGCTCCTTGCAACCTAGTTGGAGGGGCCAAGGCGAGTGCACTGTGCAACTCCGGTAACCTGGAGTACTCACCGCAACGGGTGTCAGGCTTCGGCTCCCACCTGGTAAAATAACCAAGGATGCGGGGAACTCGGCTGATTCTAATCCTGAAGTGACCTTGATGCCCCCAACCCCCAACCCCGGTGCGCGTCTAAGAGGACTCACAGTATCCACGCTGTTAACCCTCCTGCCCGTGAGCCCTGAGCAACCTGACTCCGGGCCCGCGCCTTGGCTTGCAACTCGGGAAAGTTCTCAGGCTTCCTCAGTTTGCACTGGCGCCGTCACCTTTCCTGCCCGGACAAGCTGGCGACCTCCCGGCCTCCTTTCTAATTCTGCAGATCTAGAAATCTGCAGCAGGAATGGGACGTCTCGGGTTTAGCCCTGGTAGCCGACCTGCTCACTCCTCTCGCAGCTAACTGGGGATCATTCATTTCATCGGAAGTGAGGTAACTGGTGCATCGAGCTTTCTATGGCCATTCTCAGGAGTCCACGGCGAAGGAACTTCCCCTAGTCCCGGTGGCTAAACGCAGACATGGAGTCCTCGCCCCCCCCCCCCCCCCCGCCCTCCGCTACACCGCTGCCAGGTGTGAGCTCGGTGGGAAGGAATCTTCCCCGGAGGAGTGCACCTTGCCAACAGGTGTGGCACCCAGTGGAAGAGCGGACACAACCCTACAAGGGTCGCTCAGTGCCGCGTTCTCTTTGCTGCAGATAATTCTAGAAGACCAGTAGGTGTCAGGCCAGCATCTGACCTCTTTCAGGTGCTTAGAACTCAGAGTCTAGAAACTCGATCCCTTGGTCTTGTAGGAAGCCTCTATTATTGACTAAGAGCGGGATTTGAGAGACCTTTTGGCTCCGTTTACTTAGGACCTAACAGTCAGTGTCTGAAGCAGAGTACAGAATCACCAAGAGAAACCTGTGAGCTTTCTAAACTACTGTTTTGTGGAGTCAGCACTTCAGATTAAAATTTAAAAAAAGTCATGGCGCGGGGGGGGGGCTACATATCTATTCTCAGGTTTGAAATACCGTGCACACGTCCACAGCTACTTAAATAGAACTACGACTGTTCCCTCCCACCCCGCTCCGTAACTTGTGTTTCTGTTCACTTAAAGATCCCTGATTGTTAGACTTCATACACTAAAGTGACATCGTTGGTCTCATTACAGCCTCTAGTGGACGGTTAACAGGAGTTGCCTGTCAAGGCTCTGACTAGTTTTGTTTTCCCTCCTGAGCTTTATCCAGGTGAAGGTTAATAGTTCAGAGCTTAATCGGGTGCTTTCTTTCGGTGCTCTTGGAAAAGCTGTCTTTGAACAGGAGCGGAAGCTTGCCGTCTTCGTGTGGAACAGGCGGAAGCTTTGCACTACAGGTATTGTTGCTGCTGGCCCGTGAATCGACAAAGCTTCTGCTCTTCGCTTCAGTTGCAGACAGCTTTCATAAAAAAAAAACAAAACAAAAAACCGAAATCCATCTAAAATATTTTTATAACAGAAAATATTGGTTGCCATGTTTCTGGCGTAACTGAGATGTTTTCATTCCAGCTCATAATCTGCAAACTGTCCAATCCACCTCCACTCTATTTTTAGACATCTTACATTTAGAGAATTTTCAAGGGAAAAACTAATATTGTAATTATTACGTTGGTGCAAGCAGTTAATTTGCATTATTTTAACAACCTTAAACATATTAAAACACATAATTCATATTTGACTTAGTCAATTAATTTAAATGTTCCCCGAAGAAAGCTAAATATGTGCATTACCCACACAGTAAAAATAATTAATAAAAAATTGCTGTTTACTCTCCTAGCCGTTACGATTAAAGCCATAAACTGCAACACGTCACACTGTCTCCTCCTTTCCTCTCTCTGTCTCTCTCTCTCTCTGTCTCTCTCTCTCTCTCTCTCTCTCTCTCTCTCTCTCTCTCTCACACACACACACACACACACACACCCTCCAGCTATTGCTTGCTGCGAGGTCCAACACAAACATAATACCCATGATGCAACTTCATAACTCGAGTGCTGATACATTTTCTTTCCAGATGACAGAGCATCAAATGCACCATCAGAGGTAACAGGACAGGTTCTTTAAAAGCAAAAGATCTCACGCAAATGAAAACTCGGTGGTAACAGAGCAGTTTCCAAGGTGACAGGCGACGGCTGTATAGCACCGTTCCCCTGAACCCAAATCTGATATTATATTTATACAAGACTCAGTCAAGCTTTGAAATGGAGTCAAATTGAGGAGGAAGGCCCTCTGAGCCTTACTCCTAATCTGTGTTATGAATGACTTAAACAACGTGAAAAGAAATGTTAGTACCCTTTATTTGTTTTTCTAAAGATTTTTTCAGTGTGTGTATGTGCGTGTGCGTGCATGCGTACGTGCATCCTGACACTTTCCAAGTACTCCTTTGAGACGGGGTCTTTACCTGAATCTGAGGATCATCTCTTCTCCACTAGGCTAGAAGCCAGCAAACCTAGCCATTGCCTCTTGCCTCTTCCCTCTCCACGCTGAGGTAAAGGCATGTGGGATGCCAGACTCCTTTAATGAGTGCTGGGGTCCACACTCAGGGCCACAGTGTCCTGCAGCAAGTGCTCTCAAGACCCAAGTCATGTCTCCAGCCCACCTTCTATAGATTTTAATGTTTTTGTCCCATCTACTTTTGAAAGTTTAAAATGGACTGGCTACTGTATATTAAGTCACAAGACTTTTATATATTACATTTCTGCGTTTAAAATTGGAGTCCAAAATGTCACGGCGCCTACCATAGCACCACCGTCTGGAGGAGTTTAGACTTCAGAATCAAGGCTCCTACCCCACGATATACAGTCAGAGTCTGCCTTTGAACTAGCTGCCTGACTAAGATTGGGCGCATCTCAGCCTGAAGAACACTGATCTTCATGGGCCCTGTCTGGGCACATTTGGCCATGATACAGAACTTAATTCACCAATGAATTACCTTTATGTTAATTATTTTACCCATGGGGAAAAAAAATAACACATTGCTCCTGGACCTCTGCATCCCCAAATGTAACCAGTTTATAGTAGGAAACATAGTATTTTTAAAAGCCATCTGCACTGAATACCTATAGACTTACCCCTCACCATGCTCCACACAGAATACAGAATAACAAGTCTTTCCACCACACCAGGGTGCTATCAGTAATCTAGAGATTCCTTAAAACTTAAAGTTATACTGTAAATTTAAATTACTGATTATGTTAAAGCATTAAGAGGATGTTAATACACGGTATGTAAACATTATATAATACACTTGTACGATCTAAGATTTGGGTATTTAAGAGGAACCCTAAAACTAGCCTTCCCGTTTGAGGGGTGACTATATATGTGTGAAGGAAATGGCAGTTCATCAATGAAAGAAACTGGCTTGCAATGAGTGTGCTGGGGTCTTCACTAGGAATGTGTTCTCTGAGGCAGTAGAGGGAGCACAAGAGTGCTTAGGACAGCCATTGTACACAGGGCGCTCCAAAGCATGACAGATTTTTAAACTGTAGTATATGTTTGCATTGGAAGTAGCCTGTTATGCCATTCCAAACAAAACAAAACGAAAAAGCTAACAAACACACTGCCTACCCGATTACAGCAACTAAATAATTGAACAGATTGCAAATTACATAAAATAAAAGATACAAGATATACTCGTTTCAAGTTTTAGGCTTGCATTCTTCCAGTGGACTTCAAGAATCCTGCTTAGGAAAGGTACCTTATTGCCAAGAATGCACAAAGCCCCGGTTTGATGCCCAGCACCACAATGGGTGTGGCTGGCACACACCTGTAATTTCGGCAGGAGACTGGGAAATTCCAAATCGTTGTTCCTGAACTGCATGCCAAGTTCAAGGACAGTCTAGGATAGGTGGGATGTTGTCTTAGGGGAAAAAAAAAGCAAAAAGCCTTCCTGGTGGCATACCTCAAAGGTTAAAAGAACTTACCACCAAGCCTGAGGACCCAGGTTCAGTCCCTGATCCACGTGGTGGAAGGACAGACCAAGTCCTGCAAGTTTTCCTCTGACTTCCACAGCAGCACTTCGGTGTGAGTGACCCCCCCCCCACATACACCTTCACAGTAAGTAAATGCACATGATAAAATTTAGTTAAAGGATGCATTGGTTTTCTCTAGTCAAAAATAATGTTAATTTTTCAGAATAGACAACCCTGAGAGAAACTAAGATGCATAACTAAGAAGGGAGTTAGTTCATCAATATTATACTCAATAAATTGATTTTGAATCAAACGCATTGGTTAAAAAGTAGATGATTTTTTGTAATACTTTCAAAAATGTCTCATTTGGGGCTGTTTCAACTGCTTGCCATGATGACTATCAATTTGATTATATTTATATGGTTTTTCATGCTGTTCACATTTCTCCTATATCATATCCTTAAACACTTCCCTCAGGTGGGTAGGGCACATAAGAAAAGCCAATATTGAATCAGGAAGCTACATAGTGAGATCTAGTTGACATTTAGTGAGTATCTATTTATTTATTGTAGGTGGATTTCATGATGTAGCCCAGGCTGGCCTAGAACCTCCAGTCCTCCTATCAGAACCACAGGAGTGCTGGGATGACAGCCTAGAACGTTTTCCAGCTGATAAGCATGCATTCAGTAAGAGATGAAGAATAGAGCACCAGGCCTGGAGCCTCAGACCTAGGGTACAGCATTCCGGAAGTGAAGACAGAGAAAACTAGAGACCAAAGCCAACCTCAGCTACATGGTGAGTTGCAGACTACATGGAATCTTATAATTAGAACCTGTGTCTGAATTCTCGAGCTGTTCTTTCTGTCCTTGTTCCTCAGCTACTACTTGTTTTGAATCTAGTATACAGTACACAGCCCCCCCCCCCCAAGAACACACACTGAGGAAGATGGACTAGCCAACAAAGAGTTTACCAACCTTACCTTTCTAAGAATGTGTATCTTCAGCAGGGTGAGGAGGCTCACTGCTGGCCGGCCAGTGCCTCTCAGAAACACACAGGCAGCCCTGGAAGCACTGAGAATCCAAGACGGCACTCACTGAAATGTTGGGGTGGGGGTAGGAGAACAGTTGTATAACTCTTGAGCAAGGTTAGGCTTACAAGCTCCTATTAGCCTTTCAACTTTGTAAACCAGACCAAATGTGAAGACGAAATACGTCTTATCTAAGTGCACCTCCTATCAAAGATCATCGAAGTTGAAGTAGTAAACATTTATTTATTCTTATCTCTTTAGAATTGTTAAACGTCTTTCCTCCCACAGTAGAGAAATACTTGCCAAGTTTCTGCCTGGAACAATTTGTTATGGCTATGCAATAATCCTGGAAACTTTGAATTTTTAATGGAAACACTGAGGCCAGCTCTTTAACCATGCTCTTGCAAAAAGGGGTTTATCCTATATGTCATCTTAAAAACAGAGCAAGCTGTTACACTTTGCTTAGATTGTACTCCTAAAGAAGCCTGTGGGGAAATAAACCAGAATAACGAGGCAAACTAGAAACAAAAGTGAAAGCTGCCCATTCAATAGACTCTGGGGTCTGTGGGCCACATCCTAGCTGAAGTCCAGAGGTTCTACTTACAGACCTGAGTCCTGAGGCTGTGTGCAGCCTACAGACTTACAGACCTGAGTCCTGAGCCTGTTTACAGCCTACAGACTTACAGACCTGAGTCCTGAGCCTGTTTACAGCCTACAGACTTACAGACCTGAGTCCTGAGCCTGTTTACAGCCTACAGACTTACAGACCTGAGTCCTGAGGCTGTGTGCAGCCTACAGACTTACAGACCTGAGTCCTGAGGCTGTGTGCATCCTACAGATTTACAGACCTGAATCCTGAGGCTGTGTGCAGCCTACAGACTTACAGACCTGAATCCTGAGGCTGGGTACAGCCTACAGACTCTTACAGACCTGAGTCCCCAGCCTGGGTACTGCCTACAGACTCTTACAGGCCTGCTTCAGAACTACGTCTTTGATCTCTTATAAACTACAGCAGCGCAGGCTTCTTGATCATGAAATGACATCACTAATATTCAAGAGTGGAATGAGGACTTGGAGTATAGCATCAGCAAGACCCTGGGTTCTATTCCCCAGAGCCACAGAAAAAGGGTTGGCTAAAAGCCCTTGCACTATAGTATCTGCTGCCAGTTTATGAGTCAACAATACACATATCTAACTAAACTAAACAAAATAGCAATTTTAAAAACAACCACATAAATATTTTAATATAGAGTCTCGCTCTCCAGTACAGTCTTTGAGCTATTGAAACTTGGCTAGTTTAAATTGAAATGTACTGTAAGCATGAAATATGCTTCAAAATGTAAAGACTTACTTAGATATCTGTGTATATGAAGGATACAAATATGTATATACATATATTCAGTACCTCAATAATTTCTTTTTTTTTTTTTTTTTTGGTTTTTCGAGACAGGGTTTCTCTGTAGTTTTTGAGCCTGTCCTGGAACTAGCTCTTGTAGACCAGGCTGGTCTCAAACTCACAGAGATCTGCCTGCCTCTGCCTCCCCAGTGCTGGGACTAAAGGCGTGTGCCACCACCACCTGGCTCCTCGATAATTTCTTATTGATTAAATGTTGAAATGAAAACATGTACATTCACCATTCACTGGGATAAATGAAACATATTGGTAACACATATAAAAGCATAAATATATATATACATATATGAAATAAATATATACACGTGCTTGTATGCAGAGATGTATACACATGAATATATAAGCGATCATATACACACAAATACACATTTATATTTATATTTAAGTATATATCTTTTTCTTTGTTTGCTTACTGGGTAAAGTGATTGAGCCCAGAGCTTCATTATGTCAGGCAAGTCCTCTACTCTTTCAGCCCCATAATTCAACATTTTCCACAGTCAGCTATCAAGCAATCAAGTGATGAGATTGGCAAAACAGGATTAGCCTCAAAGAGCTGGACACCTCTGGATCCTGGATGGCTTCTTGCAAGCATGCAACAGATATTAGCTGATGCTTGCCCTTCTTCATCTGAATGTCCTCTTTCTCCATGTGACACAGACTATATCACCTGTCTTCTGAGAGTCATCTGTCTGAATGCATTGTCCCATTGGTAGATACGCTGCAGGCCTGTGAAGCAAAAGCTATTAGGCTCATCTGTGCCTGAGTCTTCCTGGAGGGTGCTCAGACTCTGGTCACTTGAATTGCTGAAAAGCCGACACGTGTGCTAGAAAGCAGTAATGTTCTAGCATTGTAGCTGGTTTGGGAAGTTGCTGTTTGTGGCTAAATAGTGTGGCGTTGATACCTTTTAGGAACAAATGGCTTTAGGTATTAATAATGGAAAGTATATTTTTGGGGGCTTGGGCTATGACTTAGTCAGTGCATCCTTGCTTCAGAGTGTGAGAACTGGAGTTGTGATCCTCAGCACCCATGTAAAAAGTTGGGTGTGCTGGCACACCAGTAAACCCAGCGCTGGGGAAGTGGAGACAGGAGGATCCCTGGGATTAGCTGGCTAGGCAGTCTAGCTGGACACATGTAAAAAGTCCCTGTCTCAAAAATAAGGCTCAGAAAGATGGAATTCCTGGTACCTTCCTAGTGGAAAGGAAGAACCCCTAGCTGATTTCTTCACCCACGTATGTACTTACAGTGCTACACTGAAACACATACACACACACATACACACATACACACACACACATACACATACACACTACACACATACACATACACACACATACACATACACATACACACACATACACATACACACATACACATACACACATACACATATACACATATACACACACACATATACATACACACACATACACATACACACTACACACATACACATACACACATACACATACACACATACACATACACATACACACATACACACACATACACATACACACACATACACACATACACACACATACACACATACACATACACACACATACACATACACATACACACATACACATACACACACATACACATACACACACACATACACATACACACATACACACACACATACACACACATACACACATACACACACATACACATACACACATACACACACATATACACACATACACATACACACACATACACACACATACACATACACACACACATACACATACACACATACACATATACACACACACACACCAATAAAAAATGTAGTATGATGAAGGAAGGGAAAGAGAACACTGGACACTGATCTGGCATACAGACATACAGAGAGACATACTCACTCATACACACACATACATGCACACACTTATGCACATGTGTGTGTGCGTGCACACACATACACGGAAAGATACATAATATAATAAATAATGTTTAAAAATTAAGATGTCGAGTGGCTATGGAAAATACCAAACATTGACCTCTGACCTACACAAATGCACAGGTACACATACACACATTCATACCCACACATGAAAATTATACATTTTGCTGTTTAACAAGAAAACATACCAAGTCTATTGAAAAGAAATCTGTTTTTTAGTGTATAATAAACTCATCCCAATGGGATACTTCTAAAGGGAATGAGACGGTTTTTGAAGAATTTTTAACCATTACTAATTTGTCAGCAAGCCAGAGATGATTTGTCATCGAGGCCACCCTGACCAAGGTTGAGTTTGAGGAAACGGGCCTGTTAAATATCATAGTTTGTTACTCCAATCATCTAATAAGCACAACTCTTTTTAAATGAGAAGAAGACAGGCAACATTTTAAGGCTGAGAGTATGTGAGTTAAACCTTGCTTGGTATTGGCTGGAAACTTTTGGGACTCTATTTTTAGTGTTTCATTAACAACTTGGCATTTTTTTCCTCAAAAGAAATCCATTTTCTAAATTAAAATCCAAGCCAGAGGCACCGTCGTGTGAACGTAAGACAGTGGCACTTGAGGGGTGTACTCGTCAGACACAGGGTGCTTCCAGAGGGAGGCGTGGACCATAGCAGGCTGCAGAGATAAACATAGGATCCTTACGGGAGCTCCGGGAGACTTCTCTGTCCTTCTCGCTTCGTGACATGAGAAAAACATGACAGCAAGCTCTCTCTTAGCTACTTTATTTTTCTTGAATAAATATTGGCCAGGACAAGCTGGTCTGAATAAGGGTCATAGTTTAAGAACATCCTTTTGTGAGGAATTTACCCAGCTTGCCTCCAAAGAGGAAGCAGCGCAGAAAAAGAAATGCATTGGCAAGATTTCCTTTTTTTTTTTTTAACATAAATAACTCGAGTTCATAGAAGAAATTGTCCAGTCAGGGTTTCAGAGGGGATCGGCAGGTGGTTTGAAGCCTCCACAAAGACCTGGAAGTGGGGCTGGGAGCTGGGGCAGGGAGTCGGCGGTATCTAAGAACCTCCTACTGGAGGTTCTCGTTTTGCTTTGCCCCTCCTGCCACAGATGCCTTCTGCCAGGACGGGGATAATAGCACCCAACTAAAACTGTAAATTACAAACACTCTCCTTAACTACAGAATGAACATGCAGAATAGAAGACCCTGTCAGCCAATCAAAGAGAAGAAGACAAATTACTCACTCATCCCCCTGCAGCCAAAATCTTATTCTACCAGCTACATGGCTGGGGGAGATCTTTGCTTCTTTTTTTTTTTTTTTGTCAGATATGAAGAGAAATTAATACTTTGCAATTGTAATAAATACACAGGCATGGAACCCATTCTACTGCAATAGGCAACCTAGTTGTGAGATCTGCTTCTCATTCCAACCCCCTCTCTGCTTTAATGCTGGTGCTTAAATAGCAATAGTAAGAACATAGGATCCCAACACTCTCAGGACTAGCTTTTCCTGCAGTCAATTTTATAATTGCATGGCTCCACCCCCTCCTGCTCAGTACTTCCTTTCCCTCAATACCCTTTCTCCCCCACCCAACCATGAATCATCTTGCCTTTAAAGAGACTGCTATGACCCGGTGTGAACTTTGCTGGCATCCTGTATATCCCTGTGCCAAAAAAACAGGGCAGTAGTTCTGGAACAGAAACCGGGTCAGACCCTGATTCAGGCTCTGAGGCGACAAGCTGGGGGTACTTCTCTGGGAAGAAGAATGGGGAGTTACTTTTCCTAGATCCTGGAGAGGATTCTGAATCTTGTATCTTGGTTCACAATCGGGTTCGTAAGAATCCAGTTTGGCCCTTTGTGCAGAATGAAATATATCAGAGGGGGAAAAAATATTGGCTGATCTTTTTCTGCAGTCAGGGCAGAAGAATTTCTACCACATTCGGCTCTTTGATTTCTCCAGATCTTGCTGAGAGTGGGGTTTCCATATTTGTGCTTTGGCAAATGTGTCTGATAGCTGATTCCTCCTGATATGAGTTCCTAGTGTTATCATTTTCTTATGTGCACATTGAAACCAGAAACAGGTTTGACCTTCCTCCCTTCCCCCTGCAATAATGGAAGTGGAAGAAACCTAGGGCCCCGTGATCTCTAGGCAGGTGCTCAACCACTGGGCTACACCTCCAGCCTTGCCTCCTCCTCCTCCTCCTCCTCTTCCTCCTCCTCTTCTTCTTCTTCTTCCTCCTCCTCCTCTTCTTTCTCTTCTTCCTCTTCCTCTTCTTCTTTTTAATATTTGAAAACAACACATAAAATTGACAGTACAGGCCTTGAGATGTGACACCCTCCTAAAGGAGGTGCAAAGTGTGTCAGCAAATTAACTTCATACCTTGGCGAACACTTTTCTCTTTGTACGTAAAGCCCCTGCCTACCTACCTTTCTTCCCCCTGCACCCCTACCCTCAGCCCCACCTTCTGAGCCTAGAGACCTACTCCTCATCTTTCAAGATTTGGCTTCAGCATCAGCGTATCAGCGAAGTCCTCCTTGATAAGCACAAGAGTCTGTGGCTCTGCCCAGCGTGTGAGTCAGAGCAGAGCTATTTTCTAATTCTTTTTATTTATACAATATTTTTAAGCCAGTAACAGAAGATAAAAAAAAGAACTTTCAGGGCCACGAGCACAGATGGAGAGAGTATCCTTTTTGAGGAGGAGAGCCGCTCTTATCTGAAGGCTTCCTGTGGCACCCAAACACGTGTGGCCTTCGCTAGTTTCAGCTGTAAGCATGTCTCCTTTCTTCAGTACTCTGGCTAAGAGACTCTGTCTCGCCAGACACACCACCCCCCGCATTCCCCACTGCACTCTGTTGAGAGTCAAATTCAGTCCACTCAAAAGTACATTGAAATCCTAATCCCAGCAGCTACGTGACCGATTTGGGAGTAGGGTTTGCAGATTTGCTTAGTTAGGAGGTCTTCCTGGATGAGAGTGGACCCTAAATCCAGCAAGAATGTCACTTTCATAAGAACATAAAACATCAACTCAGAGGCAAGACAGGACCCTGAGAAGATGGCGACAGAGATAGGAAAGACACCACTACAGGCCAAGAGTGCCGAGCCTTTCCAACAAACATCAGAAGCTGCAAGCAGAAGCAAGCGTTCTTTCTCACAGCCTTCCCACTGAGGCTGACCCCAAGATGCTGATTCCAGACTTCTGACCTCCATAGCTAGGAGACCAAAGGTTTCTCATGCTTCAAGCAAATCTGTCTGGTCACTTGTTCCAATGGGCCTAGATAGAAAATCTATCCTTCTTCTGGACCTGAGATTACAAGACTGTTGCTTTTTTTTCTTGTTATTTGCATATTTATCCCCATCTCTTTTCCCTTTAGATATTTATTGATAACCTGTTTTGAGTGTATATTTGATCCAGCATCCATGACAACATCAGGAAACAAAAAGATGACATGGAACAGAAGAGTTACCCAGAGTCATGGCCCTAGCCTCATCTTTCCAGAAGAGACGATTGTTGACTCTGACCTGAGGCACAGGCTACCTGGTCTGCATGGACTGTTGAGCCCTTAGAGAACCAGGCCTAAGGCCAGGTCTAAGAACAAGGGCTTCCCCAGGGCTTCTCAGCTCCCTCTGTTGGGCACCAACGCACACAGCAGCTGCCCCCACCCCCACAAGTGTCATGGTAGCTGAAGATGCAGAGTGGCCAAACAATAAACTAATCAGACATGTAACCAATCAACCTGAGGCAAGAAACAAACAAACAAATCTGTTCTTGATAGCGGATATCTACACCATCAGAGCGGAGAAATTTATACCATATCGTGACCTTGGATTTCTCCGGATTTGGCCAAGTGTTGAAGGTTTTTTGTCTTTCTTCCTAGGTTCTAGAGATTGAACCTAGGGCCTCATGCATAAAAGACAAGCGCTCTACTACTGAGCCAGCATCGATTCCCATCTCTCAAGGAGCAGCTGCGTAAGCCCTGTCTCACCACTGAGCAGGAGATCTTACCCTCAGGCCCCTGATCCTGAGGAAGCTACTGGGTTGGAATAACTGTGACATGTTTGCCAACGTTCTCACATTTCAGGAAATGGCAGCTATACCCACCCTTTCAGTCTTCAGCCCCAAGGCCGTTGGCATTATCTATCTGCTCTCTCACTAGTACCTCACGTCCAAGCTCTCCATTGAATGGAGCTGGCTGGACCTTCAAAATATGTCCAGACGCTAGTCATTTCTCCCCACTGAGATTGCCACCATCAGAGCTAACCCACCATCAGGAACGTTGCAATAGCCGCCTCCAGTCTCTTTGATGTCTCTGCTACTTGGTTCATTCTTGGACTACATCTTGGTCTTCATCTTGGTTCACTGTGTGGAGCTGGTGAATCTGGGCTGCCTTTATAGGTGCTTCTTTATACTTAGAGGTAGGCCATAGCACTCCCATGTCTGCCAGACTCTCCATGATCTCAGCTCCTCTGACCTTCTCTGCCACCATCATTGCCCCAACACCTTTAGCCCCACGGCTCTATGATGAAGGCAGGCATACTCTGCCATGGGCCCAGGCTCTCTGCTCTGTTCCCGGTTCTGGAATGCTTTGCCCTTAGATAGTCAAAGCTGCCAAGGCTCCACCTCTGCAGTCCTTTTTTGTCCCTGAGGAGTCACCATCAGTGTGGCATGTTTAGACTACCACACACTAGTTGTAGCCTTTCTGCTTCCTTGAGTGCTTAGTACATGGATGTGTTATCCCATGATACCAAATAAATATTTGTTACTTGTTTTTTGTTTTTGTTTTTGTTTTTTTTTTGGTCAGGAAGGGATAGATTTCTGTCAGTATCACCTGGGATTGTTCTTGGCTAATGATAGATAGCCAATAAATATTCACTGATTCTTCAATGAATTCATGAATCAATAAGTAATATTTTCCAGAACCTACTATGGGCAGTCACCAGCCAATACCGAGGAATGATTGCATCATTAGAAGCGGATCCAGGATTAGATCTGTAGCTCAGTGGTAGAGCTCTTGCCTGGCATGTGTGAGATCCTGGACTTGATATCCAGTTCCACCCAAACAACAAAAACTAAGCCAAAACAAACTTACTCTGCCCAGGCTGTTCACTGACTCTTTGACTTGGTTCTATCAAGTAACATGGTGAGATGGATTCTAGGCTCAGAAACCAGTTTATAAAGACATTTTAGAAGAATCAAAATTCAAAGCCAGGATCTGGGCAGGGATTTAGTCTTTAATTTGGCATTGAAAAATCTGTCTTCTATTCCTGAACACCCAGGAAGCCAGGCATAAAGGTTACAATCGCCCGTAATGCCAACACTCAGAAAATGGAGGCGAGAGAATGAGGAGTTCAAAGTCATTCTCGGCTACAAAGTAAGTCTGGGGCCATACCTGGATACATGAGACCTGTCTCAAAACAAAACAAAGCAAAAAGTCCAAGACAATATATAATTATAACTGTAAAAGTTTCTACTGATCAAGTTCTTGTGTGGTGACAGACTCCCTGCTGGGGGCTTTGCGGGTAACATTTCATTTAATCTCCCACAACCCAGTGAGGTGGAGGTCATAATCCTCATTTCCTAGAGTTTAAAAGATTGCTCAAGGCTCAATGTTTTTAGGGTAAAGTAGGTACCGTAAAAGCTTGAGAGTTTTTAATGCGCCATTACCTGAATGAACTAGGACTCTGAAAATGATAAAAATACTTCATTGCAATGTTTTGGCCAAGGGATCCTTCCCATGCCCTGTTAGGACTTGAATGTAACGTGTCCCACCTGTGGGCTCATTTGTTTGAACACTCAGTCCCCAGCTAATGACACTGTTTGGAAGGTTGTGGAACCTTCAGGAGATGTGACTTCCCCAGACGAAGTGGCTTGCTGAGGGTGGCTGGGTCTTGAGATTTTCATAGCTCAATCCAGTTTCAGTCTGCTCTTGACTTCTAGATCCACCAAGCTGTAAGGCAGAAGTACCCAGCTGCCTCCACTTTAGTCAGACCTCCCTAGGTGCCATGCCTTCCACGCCATGACCGCCTGCGCCCTCTGAACCCAGGGGCAAAGAGAGTCTTTCCTCCTTGAACTGGTTTCTGCCAGATACTTTGTCGCAACAATGAGGAAAGCACCTAATACAATGTTTCCTTTGTTTGTCTTTGAAATCAAGACTCAGATTGTAGCCTAAACTAACTTTGAACTCGTGGTGATTCCCCTGCCTGCATCACCTGCTGGGATTACAGGTGGGAATTACCATCACAATGAGTTGGGCTTATTTTAAGTGACTGACATGTGTATTTCAGAAAGGAAAACTAGAGGCTCTCATTGAGGAGGGAAATATTTGTCCAGATCAACCTGCATCACGTCCCAATTAACAAAACTAAATAACACATTTTGATTTTTGCCTGTGGGTAGAAATGGCTCGCACCTGAAGTTCCTGCTTCCTTCTGGAGGGTTCTCTCCCAGTCTAAATGGTGTGTTTTATCAGGCCAGTCCTCTGCGATGAGGACTGAGTCCATCGTAGTGGGGCCAGTGTGAGTTTCCAAGCCTCATTTCGATGTACAGTTCCATTTAAGTTGACTTTGTTCCACCCCAAGCTTTACAGAGTCCTCAGGAACTGGAACTAAGCAGAGGGTCTTGAAGTTACCTAAGTGTAAAACACTATACAGTTTTTGTAGACTCTTTCAATTTTTATGTGTATGGGTATTTGGCCTCCATGAACAGATATGTGCACCACATACATACCTGGTGCCACGAATCCTTTAGAGTTGGAATTCTAGACAGTTGTGAGCTACCATGTGGGTGCTGGGAATTGAAAATGGGTCCTCTACAGGAACAGCCAATGCTCTTAATCACTGAGCCATCTCCCTAGCCTGACTCTTTCCAAGTTATACTTAAAAGATATGGTTATAGAAGCTGGAATTGGTCCAGAGTTCAACAGTCTTGGACAGAGGAGGAAGAGAAGGAGGCAGGGGAGGAGGAGGAGGAGGAGGAGGAGGAGGAGGAGGAGGAGGAGGAGGAGGAGGAGGAGGAGGCAGAGGAAGAGGAGGAGGAGGAAGCCAGCCCTGCAATTTCAGAGAGCCCAGCTTTCTGAAGTCGGAAGGAAATGCAAAGACCCTATTTGTGGCTGCCGGAGAGGAAAAGAAGAGTCCCACAAGGAAGCGACCAACAGATGGTAAATACATTTTTAATTCTTCTGTCATACTGTGTGGACTTGTGCACATTTGTCCTGCTCTGTTAGGCCTGAAATAGCTGTCACGGACCTGCAAAAGAGTGAGTGCCGCAGCCACTGGAGATTCAGGAAGCCCTGAGAGCTGACAAGCAGGAAGGGTTAATAGAACAGGTTACTTGGCTCCCAGTCAGTTCTTCTTCAAGGTGCTTGCTGACAGTCTCAGTGCAGAACATCCTCTCGTATGTCGGGTCTCAAGGGTGATATTTCAAAACACGCTCTCTCAACCCGTTCTCCGGGCCCTGCCTACAATGATTACATGTTGACACTATTCATTTAATGACTCCAAAAGTTACAGGAAGCAAGGACCATTGATTGACAGGTCCTAAGTACTCAAGGGGCTGTCACCAATACCCGTAGTCCAGACTTCTTCATCTCACCCTCTTCCAACTCTTAATGAGATAGCATGTTCCCATGGGACACGGTAGAAATTTCAGTTCCGGAGCAAGGGGCAATTTGGTCGTGGATTTCCCGGCAAAGAACCCGAAAAGCTAACACTCCAACTTCCTGTCTGTGGACTCTGGTTCTAAGAGATGATGGGAGACCATCACCAGGAGGGAGTCATCTCCTTACGTCATCTCCCGTGGTGCAGCAGTGGGAAGGAGATGTGGTGAGGCGCTCCACTGGAGGAAGAACAATGAAGCAGGTTGACGACCTCATCCCAGACTGAGGGGCAGAACACAATGCTGTACCATTAAGACTGTATCCCTAAAGGACCCAATTTTGTTTTGTTTGGGGTTTTTTTTTTTTATAGGCATAAATCTGGGACAAAGAGATGCAGGAAATTGGGAAAGACCTTGCGATTAGTGGCATACTGATGAATTCATCAGTAGAACCCAAGACACTTCTGTCTCCCCACGCGTGTTTTATCTCCTCAAGGATGGTTGGCGCGGCTGTGACACTCTTTATCTGAGGTTAGGTGACCTTGGTGGTGGCAGCTTTTGTAGTTGGGTTTTTTGTAAATCAGGATGAAGGAGTCTATGGCTGCTTTGGGAAATTGATGATAATTCTTTATCAGTAAGGTTTCAAGCTGAAATGTATTTGTTAATTTTTGTCCTAACCCCCTGTGGATTGTGTCTGGGTTATACAGCTATGACAGTATTGGACACAGCTGGGGCCCCTCTTTTCATGAAGTGGCAGAGAATATTACTAGATAAGAATTAAAGGCATTGCTGAAGGGACTCCGACACTTGCACACTGGCTTCCCAGCAGGGCATGGCTGATGGGAGAACTTCTCCCTGCTCCTGTCGGGTGCAGAAATGACAGGCACTTACTGTC